TTAGTTGCAATAAAGTCTTTTCCTAGTTAGTTGAAGTTAGAAAAAATTTTTGAAAGTGAGTTGCAGAAGACTGAGATTTGAGGGAAATATTCCAAGGAGAAGGTTTTCCATTCTGTGACATGGCTCACAAACAGAAAGGATTTCAAAACTGTAATTTTAACACATTTCTGTTGAATTGCCAATTTAAGATGTCAGTTGTCATCTTGTCAGATCTGAGATGTATCCTTTAAGGGATGTTAATTGCCTTTAGAATTTTAAAATTGTTATGTTGACTCAGCAGTAGGTGGTTGTGGCCTACTTTGTTGAAGGACCCCACACTGTAGGTGTCTGTTTCTTCTTAAACTTGTACCTGATCTTGATCTTGCAGTGAGAGCTGCAGAAAAACAAGGAACACAAATTCTTTGCACATTTGCCTTTCATATTAGAGGAGTGCATTATAAGAACTTCATCTTTGGATTTTCTGCAATTGGTAGATTTATGATGTCCTGTAATACAGTTAAAAGAAATTTTGCCAGGAGAATTAGCTTGTTTTTTTAACTTATGCAGTTCTGATTTTATCAGATTTGTTAACACATTGAAGGTTTTTTTATTAACTTGTGTATCGTGTAGATGCAGTTAGCACGTGATTATGTAAGCAAATATAAAAATATTATATGTTCTATTAGTGTTTCCTAGGGTGGGTGGGGGAAGTGTTAAATTGATTGTTGCATTTGAAACTGTGGTCTGTTCTGCCAGCAGCTGGAACGTGATCAATTAATTGGGGCACATGAAAGGCATTGTTGTTTCACATTGTTAAAGGAAAATTACAAGTAATGTTGTAATACTGAGGTCCAAAGATATACTCTAGAAATGGCTGGAAGTAAATTTGACTCCATCAAAACAAGGGCATTCAGTGCTGGATTATTAGCATATTATTGAAAAAATAATGGATTCATATCTTTCACTAATGCTAAGAAAATAATGGCATTTTTAGTAAGGATGAAATGTAACCTAATCAGAAGTAAACTCATTAATAAAAACCATGTCATCATGGAATTTCATGAGTTGTCTGAAAATGAAACTGAAGTGTAATTTAAGTTCACTTTCCCCACCTTGTTGTTGTGCTTTCATTCCTACTTGTCTTCCTGTACTCGTTAGAAAACCTGAATCGTTACTGTGACCGCTGACGTCCCAGATTTTTCACAAGCTTCTAGTAAGTCGCGTAACATTTCTCCACACATCTTGCAATTCTGAAATATTTCTCCAGGAGGGTGATAAGGGAAAGTGGTGCCTTGTTTCCTCCCCCAGTGCCTTCTCTGAGCACCTGGAGCTGGGGACACTGTCCTGCTCGGAGCCAGGGGCTGAGAGCAGGTTTCTGAGCTGCTGCCAGCAGGGCTTTAGAGCCGTGAGACAGAGAAGTCTCACTCACCCCCTAAGACCCCTAATACCTGAAGAGGACTGTGCAACACATTCAATAACTTGTTTTTTTTGATAAAAAGTGTGGTCAAATCTCGTTAAGGCTGTTCTTTAGAAAACATTTTAATTAGTTGTCTTTATTGCTGTTGTTCTGCTACTTTTTTGAGAAATAGGAACTAATTGAAAAGCAACTAGAGCATTTTACCTAATTCCTGAAAAATCACATATGAAAGCATAGTAGCTTAACAAAAACATTAGGCAGAACTGTTATGTACACACAGTTGTATTCTGTACTCACACTCCAAGCATATGTGAGGGGGATGAGTTTGTGCCAACCATTGTGCAACTGAAGTAGCAAAGGGTTTTGCAAAGAAGATTAGAGTTGGCTTCTCAAGTGGATTCAGAGTGCTTCAAAGGGTGTATAGGAAGTGGAGCAGAAGAGTTTTCAATAGTGGCTCTCCAAAAGACATCGGCATCTCTTTGTAAAGAGGAGTTTCATTTTAAGATCACTATGGAGTAAAGTACTTCCAGTTAACTGTGAGCAAACTAGTGCCACTTCACTTCAGAAGGGCTGCCTCCAAAGATTTGCATGGAATTGCAGGGAAGAGGAGGTTTGAGGATTGCCTCGCCTTCCTGAGTTCTGAGCTGGGAAGCAGAGGAGCTGAGGGGAGGGAGCCCTGTGTGACAGGAGAGCTGGAAACCCCGGAGGAGGTGTCGTGTAACCTCTCAGCCGAGGGATCCTCTGAGGCACTGACAAGCTGCTTCTCTCTTCTGCCTGGCTGGGGTTATGAACACTTTCCAGGGCTTACTTGGGAGTGACATGGTAACAGGATTTCATGATCTGGGAATGAATTTCTCCTTTGCTGCCTCAGTGGCTCGGATAATGCACGGTTTGGGAGCTGGGGTCGGGGGGAAGAGTGCGGGAGGAGGATGTGTGCAATATTTTTTTGCATTTTGCCTAAAGGATATAAAAGATTGTAACAATGCCTCTTTTTTTCCCCTCTTTCACAGCTCTAAAGCTATATAATAAACACAGTGCTTTCAGATTTTTTCAGCTTTCTTGTTATGAACTTCTTTAGGAAAAATATCTTTTATAGGAGTGAAGAAATTGTGTGAGCACAGTAAAGTTCCATTTGCTGTTGCACACCTGTTACTCCCTGTGTTGGGATCACTAGTTACAATTGGGAAGGAATCATCAAGACCTTCTAGTGGTTGCAACAAACTGCAAAGAATATGAGGTCCGTAGGGGACAAATTACCAGCAGGTACTTTTGTTGTATAGAGCATCCTGTGGCAATTCGTTTCAGAATTTATTAAACATTGTGTGAAATGCCTTTTCCTTTGTTTTAAGCATGATTAAGTGGTATTTTCCTGATTAAGTGGTATTTTCCTTTGTTGCCTCCCTTGTTTTGTTTCTGTTGGAATCTGGTAAATATCCTTTCTTTAGGCTTTGCACAGTTTTCAAACATGTAAGTGTTTAGGAATTAGGAATAATTTTGAAGGTGCCAGTTATATCCTCTGTTGTTTGTTTCCCTTCCAAATTTATTCCTCTTTGAAAACTACGCCTTTTAGCATACTTACTGCTCCTACTGCTACCTTTTCTCATTATACTATGAGTTTGTGTAGGACAGCCACATCAGCATTATTCAGATATTAGAAAATGTTGAAAGTGTGAAATTTTTCTGTGAAAATGTTTATTTACATGTTTGGACCATCTTTAAAAGACTTGTCTACTTGGTATTTATGCAACACTGTCATTAAAGCAGTAATCAAGAAAGGGCTCAACTTTGGAATTAATATTTAATTGCTTCTGTAGAACATTGCTCACATATCATTTATTGTGTTTCTTTGACAGGGACAGAACTGTTCCTTTATTTTCTGTTGGGGAACCATGATAACGAACCTGTAGTTAAGTGTTCATGAACACTTTTTCATTGCTTCTGAGACAGCATTCAGATTTGCACTTTTTATTTTATTTGGTTTGTATGTAAAGTTTAGCTTTTCAGGACTTAGAAAGTTTTGGGATGTGTCTAGAAAATAAAAGGAAATAAAAAGCATAGAGTATTTTGATTGTTCTGTCAAGAAAATGAGGGTGATAGACATGATGTTAAAATGCAATGAATGAGATGCAATCGGATCCTGGAAACACAGCTGTTTCTCAGGCGCACTTAAGGATCCCACCCGGGTCCCTCAGCTATGAGCCCTGGCTTCAGTGAAAGAATATACACCCAGGAAACCAGGCAAGGAGAAATCTAAGCAGTCTGTGAGGTGAAAATGCTCCTTTACAGTCACCTTTTCGTCTTCTAATTCACTGTGCCATTCTAGGTCAGCAAAATTTCAGCTCTATCTTATCCTATTATGCAAAAAACCCCTCTCAGTTTTGACCAAGTAAGGATAACAGTGGCTAAATATATACTGTAGGGAAAGTGCATTCTGTGGCTCAACAAAAAGCCCTGGCTGCATCTTGAGAACATTTTGGGGTAAAACTTCTAAGCAGAGAACAGATGAAACAGGTAAGCTGGATGGCTGAGGAGCTGCATATGGGTTGCGTTGGGGAAAACCTGTTTTCCTTTGGTCTGGAGAAAGTGTAATCTCTTCTGCGGTGGGAAGGGAGAATAAGTTACACCAACACTAAATGTATCCATTCTCCGCATATCAAGTGGGAGTCTTGTCAGAGTGTTACATGACAAATGGAAAAATACAGAATTTTAGGGAATCTGCTTTTTGTGAAGAAGAATTTTAGTAAACGGCAGCACTAATAATAATAAGCAGCACTAATAAGATGAGGGATGTAACTTGCCCTCTGGGAAACTCCTTCCAGTCAGTGTCACGGGTGCAGAAAATTACCAGCCTGGGATTCACAGCCTGAGACAATTCTTATGCTGTCTGTAGAGCTAGTAAAGATTCTTGCTGTATTTACCATTTGGACTTGAAAATTGTGAAGGGGTAGGATTTCTGAGTCCTGGAGGGTATTGCACTGCAAGTCTACAGTGGAGACTTTCATATTTGGAAGATGCATTGTTAGCTGAATTAATTGTCAGAAGCGGTGCAGGAGGAAGGGCAACATCTTCTCTTTTCCTGCCTTGACTGTGTATGATTTAGGAGTGATGTTCAGATTAGAAGGGTGACTCCTGCTGGTAGCATGACACAATGAATGAATCATACCTACCTTTCGACTATAGTAGATGACAGCTAGTTCAACTTTGACCTCATAACAAAAGGACTTTTTGTTGGACTTTGCTTGCACTGAATAAGGAAGTAGTCCATCAAGAACACAATCTTTCTCTAATGGTTTTGGACTGCGGAGATTTTCCTGTATTTTTTAGGGGGGTGGGGGTTTATGAAAAAACAAAAACCATAAAAAAATTATTTGTCACTTCAGTGGAATCTGAATCAGGTAAAGATTTAAAGAGAGAGAATGAAATAATCTTTCTTTGGGAAAAGAAGAAAATATTTAGGTACTTACAGAACAAGGAATTCTATCAGTACTTTGGAGCTATTTTTGTCTGTTAGGATTAGTTAATTTAACTTCAGACTTAACCTGAATTTAAAATATTTACAATTAGAGTTATAACAGTACTGTGTCTGTTTTCTTTGCAGGTTTGCTGGTCCTCTGATACATTTCAGAATGCCGCTGGTAAAAAGGAACATAGACCCCAGGCACTTGTGCCACACAGCTCTGCCCCGAGGTATCAAGAATGAGTTGGAATGTGTCACCAATATTTCCTTGGCAAATATAATCAGACAACTGAGTAGCCTAAGTAAGTACATTGTCTTAATACTGTATTCAGAACTAATATATTTTACAGTCACAGTGTTTGAAGTACGAACAACTTTTCAGTTTCTCAGTAGAAAATTGTCACTGGGTGTGGAATGTAGTGCTTTTGTGGGTGGTGTCTAGCATGGATGTCTGTGAAGGAAAATTAGGACCTTTTCTAGCAGCACATCTTAAAATGCTTCATCCATATATTTCTGTTACCAGAGGAATATGACAAGAAAAGATAGCTGGTAATTAATGAAGTCAGTAATTGCTAACCTTAGAGCAATTCTTGAGTAGGGAATATGACTTAGTGAGAAATATATCACTCGTTGCTTAATTCTCTCCACTTAAACCCTTGGTCATGTTTTGGTCATTCATGAAAAAAGAGGAGTTACATTTTGAAATATACCCAGAAGTGAAATTATTATATGGTATTTAAAATAATTATAGATTTTTCTTCCTTCTTTTTCCTCTGTCAACAATTGTACCCTTGGTGCACTTGAGAGGAGTGAATATTTCTTGAGCTGGGAAACTCTGAAGGAGCTTTGCTGAAAAGGCTGATATCTGGCTTGTTTTTTTCTTTAAGTTACAGCAACTTAATAAGTTGTTAGATGAACCAGCATGATCACATTTTGAATTTCCAATACTACAAGTGACATTATATATTATATAATACCACTAGAACATTACTAAAACTACTAACACATTAAATATTTAAATGTGCATGTATATACATCTAAAATGGGAAAAGTCTTTCAGCGCCATCATTTTCTTAGAGTCACAGGTGATGTAGCCTAATTTGTTGATTAGATTGATTTAATTTTTTGTTTGATGATACCCTATATGGTGTCTGTTGTAGCAGCCTTTCAAAGCTGTTAGGGTGCCATTAGGTGGAAGACTTAATTGAGGAGACTGAATTATGGAATTGAGACAGGAATGCTTACAGCACATAAATATGAGCATTATTAATGTAGCTGCAGCAACAAAGGAAGATAACTATTTGAGTACTTTTCAGTGAACCAGGAGCATATCATATCAGGATACAGTATATCTGTGGATACATCCAGATCACCATCTGTGGTTTTGCTTCATTCTGCCAAAAGCCCTTCCCAAACTAGTTGCTCATGTACTAGCCTTCCCTTCCAAGTCATTTATTAATGTTGTATTAGTTTATTTTAGTTTGCGTATTTTAAAAATCCTTACTTGATTATAAGCTTCATCTGAGGAATTTGCTTTTGTAGGTGGCATGCCACATATATATTTGGCATTTTCATTTGGAAGTATTACTTGACCCTAAAAAACCCAGCAGTAACTTCTAACTCAACAACATCATCTCGGATTCACCTATTGAGATTCAGCTGCCTTGCTATGTTATCTTGGCATACAGATCTTATATCTGATGTTGTATGTGCTGCTGCTTGTGAGGAGGTCAGGGTGAAGCAACACTAGAACAGAAAGAACTCAATTAAGGAAGAAAAAAAGAAATTAAGAATATCCATTGAATGCTCGCACGTTTATTACATGGTTTGTCTAACATATAGCACAGAGAAACTCTTGCAAGGGAATGTACCCATAACCGTGTGTAACTCCTCTTTGTAAAAGCAGCGTGGTTCTTCCCTGAAACATGTATTCATGTGTTTATACCAAGTTTTTATCTGATGCTCTGTGTGTTTTCAACAAAAACAAAAACCCAAACTTTTTTCCTACAATTGAAATGGAACATGTTTTGCAAACTAGTCCTTATTTCTCAGCAGTGCTAAAGACTCTTCTTTAAAATTGGGGATCATGCTACAAAGGTTTGGGTACTTGTGAATGTATTTTGTTCCAGAATTCTTTTAGCTTTTCTGCCTATTTATGCTAGGAGCAATACGAATTCTAAAATATTCAGGAGTTCTGGAATAGAAATGTTGTGTCTTATGCTTAAACGCAAATAACCAGTCTTCACTTGGTGTGTCACTGTTAGGGGTGTACAGCAAGGTCTGCTGACATGCAGATAAATTTTAGGAGTTGCCTGTGAGTCACAGCCAGCAGGCATGGTTTTGCAGCAGTCCCCTGGCAACCAGCTTCTCTGCAGTCCTTCCCTTTTTGTTTTCCATGGATAATGTGTATGTTTGAGAATCAGCCTTTAAGTTGTAGATAAAATGAGCTTTACTCTGAGAGTGGAAACGGAAAGCTCTGGTAGGGTTTCGTTTCCTTTAAACTAAAGCTGCTTTTGCTGGTAAAGTTACGCAAATTTAAATAAATGGTCTTTGACCTGATTAACAATCAGTCATCTCTGCGTCTAAAAGACTTTTCATTTACTTACCCTCAAATAGACGATCAATCTTCTGTCATTATGGTTATGATTCTCAAGACCAGGCAGTCTTAACCTTTCTTCTGACATGATATGGAGAAAGAGTGCTGTCCTGGAATTGGAGCCACCAATACTCTAAACAATACCAAAAGTCACTACTGAGGAAAAGTAAGCATAGAGTTTTGTCATGTGAGTCATTGGATCTCCAAATTATCAAACCTTTCATAGCTTATTTGATGTGCTGCTTCTAATTGTTCAGTTTGAGAAATTTTTTGACCTTTAAAAGAAGTAGAGATCAAAGGACAAAATATTTATTATTTCTGCTTTGAGTGATAGTCTTTGCCTTTATCCCTGAAGCATGAAAACATGTCAGTCGGTCATGATACAACATACAAAATTGCCAGTAGGTATTTTTTTCCCCCATCTATTCCCAGTCTTCTCTTACTTCATAAAAGGATCTGTTTTCTGACAGCTTTTCTTAACACTGTGGCAGAACAGAAACTCTCTGGACAACAGCAACAGCTGTCTTAGTTTCCTAGCCATTCTTCTCTGTATTTCTTTCTTTCTAACAGTATCTGCTTTGAGGAAGTGCTTACCTCGTGTTTGCAGCAATATTGCACATACATTAGTACTCTCTATACGTCGCTGTGTGTCAGGCCATAGCATTCCCGCATACATGAAACACAACTGATGGCATTGTGCAGCTGTGCCATTGTTGGAAGGCAGATAAATAGTTCTCTTGTGTGCATGTAGCCTCCTCATTTTGTTCACAGCTATTGACCAATCTTGTTTTTCCTTTTATTCAGCTGTTCCATGGAAACAGAATCTCAGTACTACATAAGAAACCTAACTGATGGGGTTTGTTTTCAGCCCCAGTCTCTGACACCTCCATCGAGGGAGGAGAACACTTCTCTTTTTGAATATGTGCCTTTAATGAATATTTGTATTGCAGGCATTCAGACTAGGCCTTTTATTCAATCATAGCAAGATGTCATTCCTCATTTTTTCATTTACCTCTGCATAACCAAAGAGAATGCTGCATAATTCTGCTGGAGCGCCTTATATGTTAGTGAAAACAATTTTCACTTAACACTGAAGCTTTTGTAGCCTTTTCCCTCTTTCTATCTTTTCTGTGTCGTGTATAGATTTTTAATGTGTTTGTCTAATTCTTTCTTTTCCTTGCCCCTTATTTGTTAGTTTTCAGGAGTGAAAGCCTGACTTTGGAGCAAATAATTTCTCCCCCTTATTTTTTCTTCTCAGAGGTGCTTAAGTTTTCTTTCTTATTTTTTGCTTACCATGCCTTTCATTTTGTGAGAGACACTTTTCTCTTATATTGTGAGAAGCACTTTTTCAGCTCAGGAAAACCTTCAGTTTGTCATGACTTAAGGCATTAACATTCAGTAAGTGGGAAATATTTCTCCAGAAATACCTAGCTGCAAGGTGTTGAGACTGCAACTAATTTTTGGAACCAGGCCTCTTGAGCTCAAAGACCAGGCTCTCTGTTGACCCTGAGTGAACAACCTCTTCAGCACATGGTAAGGTTCCTGCATGCTGCGAGATTGGAAGTAAGTCTGTGCAGATCTGCAGCTAGAGCTTCAGTCAGTATTCCAGAACTCCTATGTTGCATCTTGCCCTGCCCATCCTGCTCCTTCTCAGTGTGTTCAGGAAGACATTCATTGTGAATTTTCTTCATTAGTCACTCCTTTTTATTCCTTATTGCTACAATTGCCAGGGAACACAAGTGTTCTTGTGCACAAGGGGGTAAGGAAACTGATGCACTTGAAAACTGAAGGCTAACTCAGCTTGAGAGAGCCCCAACCTCTCAAAATCTCCATCTGATTTCTTGATGTTGTCTTTGCAGCAGTGGCAATGCTGTTTTGTGTCCATCCCAAATGGCAATGAGAGGATGAGTGAGGGGTCAGTAAAGCTTCATTGAAGGCAACTGTGTTAGCAGAAAAAAGTCCCACCTGTCATTAATTCTTTGCCTACATAAAGCAGTGAATTCGGGTTGTGTTAGAAATGAAAGGAAGAGCAAGACTTCTCTGTGAAATGATCATTAGCACTGCTACTTTTCACATAAGTTCAGCTCTCAGCAGTCTCTTTCACAGATTTCTGAATACTTAATGGTAATCTCAGCTAGGTTACTTATAATGTCCTCAGTGGGTGGTATCTCAGACTTCCATGGCTGAAGGTTTTTGACTTCTTCTTTTTGGATGTCAACAAGAAGCGTCAGACCTGCTCTGGATAAGGCCTTTAACAAAGTTTATTTGATACTTTTGATGACCTGGTCAGGTTGTCTGATAAACATCTGGTTTAATTTTCCTGGCTAAAGGAATCAAGTTGTCTCCTCAGTACTCTGATACTCCTACTATAATGCTTGTGGACTGCCCTCACATTTTCATAATGAAGGTTCCTAATTAACATCAGTGCTATGTATTTAGTATGTCATTTTGCAGAGCTTGCTCAGCCATAACCAGTGAAGTTCCCAAGGCTCTACCAAGGTTCTTAACTCCAAGTTCAGTCTCCTAGCTTTTAGTCTGTTTCCTAATCACTTGGCTGTGAGATTGAAATGATCCTGATGAGAAATAAGCCCAGACTTTCGAACTCAGATACATCTCATTTTTCTCAAAAAAGTAAATTATGTAGTGAAGATCTGAAGTTGAATCAACAGGCTATGGATATGTTAAATTCTATGTCAGAAATAATGA